CAAGCAGTGTCATAGGAGCAGTCCTGTAAATACAGAACTACCAGGACACTGAAATTGGGACAATGTTTTAAAACAAAATCCCTTCTCTGAAATTTGGCCYTTTTTCCACCCACAGGATTTTGCCATCAAACTCTGGAATTTTCTTTTTATAGAGCTGAACTTGCTTTCATTATTATTGCAAGAAATATTAAAATTTGTTACTTCCCTATTTGATATTTCCCWATCTCAGCACTGTGATCAGTATCACTTAAAGCATGAGCTGAGTAATTTAATCCTTTTGAAAAATGCAATCACCATTGCCCAACTCCAATATCCATCCTGATTGTTTTCAGGAAACTGATTTTTGTTTTTTCAATGAATGCTAATAAATAGTAATGAAAGCTTCTATAGAAGTTTCCATCCATATATGACTAATTAATTGATTGTTATGCAAAGCATGTCCCAAAATAAACTTGCTCAGACCTGGCATTCAAAGAATTTAAGTAAAACTGTGTGGGGAGGAGGAAAGGAAAAAAAAAAAAAAACTCTGTTGAACTGACACAGCAGTTTGAACCTTAGTTATGACATTAGGCCTAACACCATTTCAAAACCAAACTTTGCTATAAGAATAGCTGAGAATGTTGGGGTCTATTGAGAAAGAAATAAATCAAGTGAAAGGGTTGCTTTGCATGTAACAGAAAAATGTAGGGCAGCAGCTGGTCTAAAGCAAGCCCAAATCATTCTCTCTTTGAATTAAATGTTTGCCTTCTTGCTCCACTTGATCTTCACGGGATTAGATAAAAACATTACAACTCAAGCCATCAAACAGGTTTTGTTCCACCTTTACAAGCACAGCACTATCTTTGTTATTCACACACAGTGGGTTTGGTACACGTGTAAGGCAGACATGATATGCATGGTGCAACATCCTTGTCTTCTCCAGTCCTCACCAGTTGTGGTGGGGATGTTTCCCACTCCTGATGGGTGGCACAAACAATGATGGAATGTWTAAAATTGTGACTTTTATATGAGGGGGAGCACAGGTCCACACTGGTCACACAAATGATGCAGCACTGTTGGTGCTTTTGTAAAGAATCTCATTTTGCCCCAATTCTACTTTTTATGAGCTTTAAGTACAGAGAGAAGTCCTTTTCATTCTCCCCTTCAGGGCTATAAAACTTTCATAGAGGTTTGCAACAGAATKAGGCCTTTGAAAAAGACTGAACTCTTCCTTCTTTCTTTCCTTGAGTCCATCCTACTCTGCCTTACCTTTACGATATAAACATCTACAATAACACTTAAAACTAGAAGGGCAAAAATAGCCTCTGCTATTGAATACCTTGCAATCCCATTTACTTCGTCTTCAAAAGATGTAATGGAATTTTAAGAAGTGACAACTAAAATGATAATCAGAATTARAAAACAGTTTTCCTGTGGTGAGCCACTGAACAAAGTACAACTTCACAGATAAGCAGAGATGAGTGGGTGCAGGGGGTGTAGTGGAGGGTTTGCAAACTTAGGAASAGCAATGAAATGAATAAAAACTAGTAACTTTTTCCTCAAGAGAAAGAGCTTCTCAGTCCACCCAGTGAAGTCACCAGATGGTGGATTTAAAATAAATATAAGTAGTTACTTTTTAAATACAGCACACAGATGAAGGGGAGTGCATTRCCAAAGGATGTCATGGATACCGAGATTTTAAACTGATTCAAAGACAAATTCTGGCCCATCAGCAGTTAAAATATGCCCTGGTCCAGTGCAAGTCTCCAGATCTAGAAGTCTCCAAAGATGTTCTGTCCTTATATTCTTTTCACAAAAATCTGTCACTGATGGAGGCAGATACCAGATGTCTGTGGCACCAGAACAGCAGCTGCTGCAGCATTTTGGTATAATCGGGTCATGCTTATGTGAAGACAGAGAGAAAAGCAGAAGGATTCATCAGTACTGTTCAGTAGCCATCTGATGTTCAAGCTGATCTGAAAACCCCAGAGCCAAGCAGTGCTGATTGAGTAAACTTTTAGATACTTGATTTTTTTTTTTAATGGCACAAAACCATTACATAAATATCTTTTCTGCCAAATSTGCCTTATGTCAAGATAACACAAAAATAGGGAATGCAGTAGAAGTATTTTCAGGTGCAACCCCTGCATATCATCTTGGGTGAAGCATGAGACAGCTCTCCYATTTCATCTGCTGCTTTCCTTTTCAAGCTTAGGCAAGTGACTTTGCCCCTTTCCCCTCCTTCTCTAGTCTGTCTCCTTCAATTTGCAACTCCTGTGCAGGTGATTTCTCAGGAATCTTCTTATGGCTTCTGAAAGCTGCAGCCTTTTCATGCTATTATTTGTCTTTAGGAAGAAGAAACAAACTTTCCCTTCAGCGTTAGAGAAGTTTACTTTCCCCACTTCAGGAAGCTTTCTCTACCCACTGGGCAATGTTTTAACACACAGGTTATCCCCTGGAGTTTCAGGAGAGGTTGTGAGAATTTGGGTGAGACCTCATTCTGTCTGGCCAGAGCCATGCAATTTGCATCTGTTTCTTCTTGAGCCCCTACAGGGCCAATGCTGATCCTTGACTTTCCAACAGCTTTTAGATACCCTGGTGTTTTCCACACTCTGTGGCTGAAAACACTCAGGGAAGAGCARTTACAACCACCAGAAACCTTCACCTACCTCAGGAGCTGCCTCTGCAAGGAGCACAGAGCTGGAGCTCCACCACAGCAGGGCAATCACAAGGGCCAAATGCACCACCACGAGCTGGAGCTGCAGCATCTGCAAAGGAGAACAATCTATTAATGACCCCACAGCTGCATTCTCCGAGGAATTTTGCTCCAAAGGTCTTAAGGAAGTAAAAACAAAGGGAGAACCTCCCTACAGCTGTTAATAACTTTTATCTGTCAGAGTCACTGCATAAAACCCATCGACCAAATAAAGCCAGCTGAATGCTCTTCCCTCTGCATGCAGAACCAGCTCCCTCCTCTGCTCCTCTACAGCCCTGCCAATCTTTTGATTCGTTTCTGCACAGTGGTGCAATCCTTGCAGTGGCAGCAGTGAGGAATGCCTGAAAATCAGATGAACTGGATGCTCACCTCATGAGTCTTTGGCTGCCAGCCACCCAGGCTGACCCTGACCCCTCCCCACAGAGGTGCTTAAAGCTGTGACAGAAGTCACAGACCCCTCCAGTAGCATTTTGAAGGCAAAGTTGCTTTTTTTCTAGTTCTCAACATGATCTAGTGGGAGCTGCAGCTTCCAGTGGGATCCTGCAATAAAACCATTTACACACGTGGTAAAAGCCTGCCTGGGGGTGTGCTGTTGAGACTGGTGGTGGTTTGAGTGTGTGCCACAGCTGCAGAACTGCAGCACCCACCAAGCCTTCATATAATGCAGGGAATTTTGGGAGGCTCAGGATGGAGAAAGTGTTTGCTGCAAGTGTTATCTCTAGCCATGGGTTTAGCCTACATTGTTTAAGCCCTTGTTTGGGTCTAACTCTTAAAACCTGACATGCCTCCAACTCCTCGAGGTGGGAATATTTCAGATTATATCAATAAGAGCTTGGCTGGGGGCTTTTTGCCAAAGGTATCTGCTCGTTTGCTGATTTCTCTGTCTCCACGTCCTGCCCCAGAGTTTAATTCAAGTCTGTTTCTGCCATTCTTTGCTGACTCTCCAGCTGGCAAAAGCAGAAACATTAAGAGTGTATGTATACATACACATCTACAGTTATTATTCCCATTGTCCATAAGGGATGGGCAGCTAGGCAGAAAGCTGCTGGTTACTCTGGAGGGGTGRGGCAGATTGAGTCCACTGGAATCAGCACAAAGTCAAAGCACTAAGCCWGGTGGTTCCACTGTCCCTCAGTCCACTGCAACAGCCCCTGCCTGACACAAACACAGGGTTTGGCTGGGTGTTTTTAGAGCTGTAACCCTCTACAATGTATATTTTTGTATGTGGGTGTGCACTGAAATTTGAAGTAGCAGTCKACCACTTTCATAGGTAACCACATCCTGATTATTTGGATACAGGGATGTAAAAATAAAAGGCAAGGTTAAAAACATATGTTTATTATGGTTTAARATCTGTGATGGTATTCATTCAGCCCAAAGACTAAAGAGCTAAAAATAGCATCTGGTACACTAATGAAAATAAACAGTTAGGCACCTGCAACACTAAAGACATTTGATTAACTGGCCAGAACTCCACACCAGTGAAATTAGAAGCGGAGGAAATTGTAAGGACTTAAAACTTGGCTCTACTTCCCAGAGAAATAAGCAGCTAAAGAGGTGGTGTCACTGAGTGAGAAGAGAGCAAAACTTAAATCCAGCARGATCTTGTTGTACTGATTTTCATGCAATAATGGGACCAAGGCAGGAGAAATAGGCAGAGTTATTGTAGTGGAACAGTTCAGCATTAGAAAAGCATTTACAAAACTAATGGTGCAGTGAGGGCTATGCAAATATAATCAAAATCTCTCTTTGTTTTACCAGTCTGGGACTTAGATTTCCAGCTTCAGCCATGTCATAGAACCTTAGGTGTTAAAAGCAGGTTTTGGGTTTTCTCCTGGAGCTCTTTTGCTGCAATTGGCCAAGCAGAGCCCTCTGGCCAAAGAGGGGCTTTCCCAGCCAAGCACTGGATATTGCTCCACCCCATCCATCTCTTACCTTGACACATTCCAAGAGAGACTTTCAGAGAGGCTGGACAGTATTTGTTACTGAAGGAGAATAGGTAAAGCTCTGACAAGCTTTTCAAGATGTACCCTTACTATTTGTGCTGAAATTCCACCCTTCCAGAAAATTCTTCACCACCAACTCACAGAGCTAGGTCAGGGGTTTGGTGTATAATTCCATGCCTTTGGTATCTCAGGATCTGGTGTTATCTGACATAAAATATGGCTTACCCTTCTCTAAATGTAATTGCAGGTCAGAAATTCAGACATACTTACGTGCCTCAGTGATATTTTAGCTTGAAATGTGTCARAACTAAAATTCCTCACATAATTAGGTATCTTTGTTGCAGGTCCAATTAAAATAAAATTAAAGATAAAAGAAAGAACAGTATTCCAGCTTATCAAAGGAGGATAAACATACAAAACTTTTACTTAGGAATCTGTGCAGAGCCATTTTCCAAGAAAAGATCATAAGAAAGCAAAAAGCTTTACCAAACAGAAACTGCTAAGTGTCCAACATCAAACCAAAGGGCTTGAAAGATGTTTTTCTTTTAAAGAAAAAAACAAAACCCAAAATGACATCCTGAAGATAAGTGGGCTGAACAAACCCCAGACAGAATGCAATTCATCACCAAGCTCCAAACCCATTGCCTGTCAAAAACAGTAACAGCCATCATTGTTCTTACCCATTTGAACTATGATATTTCACATTACTGTGGAGATTACTCTGCAGGCATAAATCACCAGGGCCTTATTTTTCTTGCTGGCCTGTTAGCAAGAGAACCGAGGCAAGACATCATGCTGTGCCCTGCAATCCTTCACTCCAGCTGCCAGTGTGGATTGATGAGTGAGCTCTGCCGATGCTGCGACACCAACACGGGCTGTGCCCACATCCCCTGCAAACCAGGACCTTGCTCTTGCAATCAGCACAGAAGCCCTTGAGGCTTTGTCCTGGGTGCTCCCAAACTGATCTGAGGCAGAGCCAAGGCTTTACTGTCCCACAGGCACTGGGAAGTCCTGGCAGTGCCTCTTTGGTCCCCAATTCGTCCCTTCTATGAGCTCTGGGGTAACCCTTCACCCCTTAGCAGGAAGGTCTGGGGGATCCTGCACATTCCAGCCAGCTGGGGCTGCAAGCCTGTTATTGAGATATTTTGTTTCTGCTCCAGGGCCACAAAATAGAATATTAACTGCTGCTACCTATCCTAATCAAATTAATTAATCAAATTGAGTACTCACACTGGCCTCGTTATGCTCGCATTGCCCACCTGATGGGAATATGCCTTGGCTAAAAAAATGATGGATGATTATCTTATCAAAAAACCCAACTTATAAATGGCTTGTGTGGAGCTCTAAGAAATCTGCTCCTGCTGAAACAAATGTGCCTTACTTTTAAAAGTTGTAAAATGGATCCTCTGWTCATATTTATCAAGCCAAAAATACTGCCCCTACCACCAGTCCTGGTGATTTCAGAGCTGCTGAGGGACCCTGTGTATCTCAGGTGCAATTTTGTAGTCATGTAAATGTCAAAGAAAAGGGAGAAAAATCAAAACAAATCCCACCCTAAGAAAAAAAAAGCAGAGCCCAAAATTGGGTTAGAGCTGTGTTTCTGTTCTCATCCCYCAGATGAGATATGGAACACTTCTGACATATTTCTTCCTAAAAGATACTGAAGCCAGACACTGAAGCATGGGACTTCCATGGCAAAATGAAATGTAAGCTGCCAGTGTCAGGCCCTTTATGTTATTAATAATTTGTTTCCTGGAGTAGGTGTAGATTTTTAAACAATGCCATATATTTTGTTATAYGTGGTACAGACACTGACAATTTCTACAGTGAAAATTTCCTCTATTTTCAGTTTCCTGACTATGCATTTCCTGACTATGTAGATAAATAGAGGCAGGTAAAAACGTTTTCAAGAGGAAATAATTAGTTATTTTGAGCTAACAAGGTATTTTTGTGTCMCAAATGAAACTTGTTGCCAGACAGTATTTCAAGGCCAAGCAAGTTCCGCTTCCTGAAAATGAAATTCCTTCAAGGTTTCTCAAGGCAGTCAAGACTTGTCATCGATTTTCAAAGATTTCATTTCACTGATTGCATTCCCTGTGAGATGATTTCCAGTGTTTGGTCCTGACATGTTTTATCCCACCACGTCAGTCAGCTCTGCCTGTTGGACACTGTGCTCTGGCTCAGAGATGCTCGAGCACACAGCTCCTCCTGCCCCTTGCACTCAAATGAAATATTTCTGCCATGGTTCAGTCACTGCAGGGCTTGGCTGGACYCTGCCCATGCAGGACACAACATCTGTGAGAGCAGCACTCCCACCAGGAGAGGAGAGGATGGAAAGGTGACCCTCTAATTCCTGTGGGGAGCTCAATAAATGCACACATAAATACACATAAATGTACCATGCCAGGGTACCTTTGCTGAATGAGTACTATTCAGGAACAAATTAACTGACAGAGGTGGGCAAACACTGGTGAAAGATCAGTCAGTCGTGGTTTTCACCTTTTTCTTTGAAAACAGGRCATGAAACTAAATGGCCACACAGGAGAAATGAGGACACTTTGCTTCTGAATGGGCAGGAAGGACACAACCTGGACATCTAGCAAAGCTGAATGACTATTAGACTGTGTAATAAATCCATTTTTAGCAACAGATTTTAGAAATTAAAAACCTCAACCTCACATGTATACCATAAAAATAGGAGACCATGAAGCAGGAGACAGACGGGGTGAAGCCCATCTAGAAGCTGAGGGAATATTAAAAAAGAAGGATGYTGTGAAGTCTAAGAGAATATCTCCTAGTGGGAGAATCCTATTTTCACCTTTCCTCAGAAGATAATTGAGTGAGCTGCAGTATCCCTGGTATGTACAATGGAAAACAAAATATTATTAGACTACTCTCATTGCCAACAAACTCTCAAGCCTACTCCATTATATATATGTACTGACTAAACATGCCAACTTTTCTTAAAAATTTCTAACAAGTTGACATTCAGCCTTCCCTCATCTGTAGCACAAGAACCAAAAACTTTTCATTGTTAGAGTGCCATCTTCAGCATTTGAAGCAAAACATAAGAAACATTTTGAGCAAGAAAAATCAAGGATAATTTTCTTTTCTAATAGCATTCCAGTGATAAGTAGAAATTCTTCACACYAGGTATAAAGAGTATATTAGCAAAAGAGGTAATCAATATAAAAACAGACTATCGAAAGTATAATTAAAATATCCCTCAAGATAAGCTTTTAAGAGACAAGAATGGCACTGGAATTTCTTAAGAAGATTCRAACACTGACAGTGATTTACTGGATAAACACTTAGACATTCCAATCAAGGATATTACAYGAAGAAGAAAAGTCTTGGGGAAGATGCATTGCCAATGTAAATTAGAGAATAACCTGTCTCTCTGAGTTAAGAAGAAAAGGCAAGCAGAGCACTGGCAGTCTTTGTCAGGGTCTAACAAGGGAGCTCTCACAACTGTTGTATGTTTTAATTTGCTATTTAAGAAGCCCAGAGAGGCACTTGTCATTCACTCAGAGTGAAAACAAAGTCTTAATCTGCTGAAATCAGTGTGGCAGCTGCTTATAAAAAATGAAGACTGCCTGGTCCAGTCAGATATATTTCGCAGTTTTCCCATTATTCACACCACAGATTTGCTTGGTCTGAGCTGGGAGTTTTTGCCTGTTGTCTCCCATAATGTTCAAGGTATTTTACAGGAAAAGTAGGCATTTTGCATACAGGTGAGCAGAGACAGATGAATGCAATAATTAATTTCCTGAGTGAAGCAAAGGGCAGATGCACAAAATGTCCTCTCAGCTCCTCAGCTTTCAGCTCTGCATTCCCCATGAGAGGAAAATCATTTCAAATTGAAAAACCAAGTAAGGAAAACTAAAGGCATTGCATGTTAGTGCTTCAAGGATTAGTAGATTCTGAACTTCACTGTAGCCTCTGGACATCYAAACCAAACGTTATTTGCATGTATTTACTTGTACAACTTTAGTGTGGGAGGAGGAAAAAACCCAGTGAAATAGTTTTGAASTCAGAATGGAGAAATTGCAGTGTCTATCACAGAATCAGGGTCTGCCTTCACTTAGAGCAGTGCAAAGCTGAAGCAGTCAGATCACTGGATAATGATAATTACTCTGTCAGTGCAGGAATGTTTTTRCAGTTATTCTATGATAGCAGGAATGCAGCAGAATCTGGATCAACATTTGTCTAATAAGGGATTTAATAAAACCCTTCTGCAAACCCATAAATTAAAGACATTTCCTAAATCATTTATCTCATGTTTTTTCAGTGTTAGATGCAGGAAACTTGTCTACCACATATGAYATTTAGTAATGCAAAAGAATTCTTCTGTCATAGCTCTCTGGCTTATTTTAAAAAGTAATATGCATTTGACAACAACTTACACAAAAGGAAAACCTGTAACAATAGAAACAGCAGTTTACTGCAAAGCACTGCAAGAGCCTGAAAGTAATTTGTCACTGTTGTAAAATGCACTGACACATTCTGTTTAAATACTGGCTGATTAACTGAGGGAAATAAGTTTCCATTGAATAGTTGTAGTTTAGTTTTACTACCAAAAATCCTAGGTGACAGGCATTTATTATCTTAATCTCAAACTGGAAAAAGTAGTTGTGTTTTTCCCATCAGACCTGGACATCTTTATACTTTGTGCATATCTGTAAATTAAAAAA